CCTTTGCGTGCATGGTCTTGAGGGCTAGGGTTGGGTAGTGTGGAAGCACACACCATTGGTACTCTGGAAGCTGCCCGGGAACCTGTCCTCCCAGGACTACCCCTCGTAGCAAAGTGCTGGCTCTTGAACCCTACTGCCTAGGTTCATACGTAGCTCTAACACTTACTAACGAGGTGACCTGGGACAGGTTACTTAATTTCTTTATGCCTTAGTTTCCTAATCTGGAAAATATGTATAATAATAGCACCCACTTTTGAAAAAGATTTTTTATTGATTTTTTAGAGAAAGAGGAAGGGAAGGGAGAGAGAGAGAAACGTCAATGTGAGAGCAACACTTTGATCGGTTGCATACCCACTACTGAAAATTGAATCTGCAACCTGGGCATGTGCTGTGACTGGGAATCGAACCCACAACCTTTTGGTGCGCAAGATGACACCCAATCAACTAAGCCACACTGGCCAGGGCAATAGCACCACTTTATTTATTTATTTATTTATTTATTTATTTATTTATTTATTATTTTATTTATTATTTATTTTATTTCAGAGAGAGGACGGGAGAGGGAGAGAGAGATAGAAACATCAATGATGAGAGAGTCATTGATCAGCTGCCTCCTGCACGCCCCCTGCTGGGGATCGAGCCCACAACCCAGGCATGTGCCCTGACCGGGAATCAAACCTCAATCTCCTGGATCCTAGGTTGATGCTTAACCGCTGACCCACGTCAGCCAGGCTAGCACACACTTTTTAGAACATTCTATAGATTCATTGAGCCAACACAAGAATAATGTCTAGCAATAGGAAATTCTTGATCAATTTTAGTATCATTTTATTATGCTTTATGAATGTGATACCGCCTGAGATTCAGAGTAGGTGGAAGAAGAAACAGTAAAAGGGCGTTTGCTCCTGCATTCATTCAGTCACCACAGGCAATACAGGCCAGGGAACAGAAAGATGGTTACTATCTCACATAATTCAAACAATTCAGTAGGTATGTTTTGTGCTTTCAAAAGATATGGAATAGAAGACCGGATGGGTTGCTCAGTTGGCTAGAGTGTCATCCTGTGCACGAAAAGATTGCAGGTTCAATTTCCGGTCAGGGCATGTCTGGGAGGCAACCAATCGATGTCTCTCTCATATCTATGTTTCTCTCTTTCTCTTTTCCTCTTTCTAAAATCAATAAAAACATATCCTCAGGTGAGGATTAATATATATATGAAATAGAAAAAGAAACTGGTGTCTTAGCCTTTAGATATTCTGGCACTTCATCAGACCCATGGTGCATTTTGAGGAAAATGTTACAAGGGATGTTGACAGGATCCTCAAAGACTGCCTTGTACTTCTTCCGTCTCTTGTATAGAAAATCTGCCAGGACAAGAAGGGTGACCCAGAGGAAGCCATCTTCAGGGCCTGGTAAGAAAGACTGGAGATTCTGTTCAGCTGATGCCTCTCAGCCTCAGTAAAGACCATTTGTGTAGGGCAGCAAACTTGCTCCTCTCACTGTCAATCCTACTTCCTTCCCAGATTCTCTAAATTGCTGAAGAACTCAGGGTGTGTAATTTTTAAATGTCACACTCAAAGTTCAAGAAACAAGTTAATTAAGGCCACTTAAGACAAAAAAAAAAAAAAAGCTATGAAGTGATCAGTTGTAGCCAACTCCTTCAAATGTGGCCAAAATTATAAAGACCTAACTGATACCAGATAACACTTCATCCCAACCTCCCTAGTCAGAATGACCCTCTTCCCAGTACTCTCCTTCTGGTATGTAGAGAGGCGGTTACTCTCCGGAAGTGAATTCTTAACATTCTCTCTTTCAGTATGCCGGCTGTGCCTTCAAGAACCTGGGGATCCTGAAAAATTAGGGGAATTCCTTCAGAAAGACAATCTTAGTGTGCACTATTTCTGTCTTGTGAGTATAAAGCCCCCTTTGTTTTGAATGTCATGGCTTTTGCTATACAGTCTGTTCTCTGTTTTTGCACCCAGCCTCAGATCCACAGCCCTGTTTGTTTTCCATAATGGCTTTTTCTTTTAAAATCTAATTTTTAAATAATATACGTATCTGGTATAAAATCCTAACAGTATAAAATATGTACAATAAAAAGTCTCTTCCCAAAATAGTATTTCCCGGGAATCTTTTGCCCTCTCCCCATGTTTTATATAATATATATCCCATGTAAACACTGTCTAAATCAAAATAAATATTTCCATCACCCTACAAGTTCCCTCCTGCCCTCTTCCAGTCAATCCCCTGAGAGATGATCACTGATCTATAGATTACTTTGGCCTGTTCTTATGCTTAGTATAAAGGGAATCATACAATTTGTCCTCTTTGGTGTCTGGCTGCTTTCACTCAACGCAGTGTTTTAGAAATTGATCCCTGCTGTCGCATGGGTTAGTAGCCTGTGCCTTCTTATTCCCCAGTAGCATTCTGTTATATATTTTAAGCTGCTTATCTGTCCACCTGTGGATGACCAGTTGAATTGTTTCCATTTGGGGGCTATTATCAATAAAGCTGCTGTGAACATTCCTGCACAAGTCTTTTTGTGAACATGTGCCTTCACTTCTCTTGGGCAGATGCCTAGGAGTGAAATTACTGGTTGTATGTTAACTATATGTTTATCTTTCTGTGAAGTTGCCAAGTCACTTTCCAAAGTGGTTGTACCAATATACACTCCCACCAGCAATTTATGAAGTTCGAGTTACACAATACTCTTGCTAGAACTTGATATTGTCAGTCTTTTAAATTTTAGCCATTCTACTAGGTGTGTGCACTGTGGTTTTAATTTGCATTTCTCTGATGACTTAAGATGTTGAGCTTCTTTTCATGTGCTTATTGGTCATTTACATATTTTATTTTATGAGGTGTCTGTACAAATATTTTGTCCATTTTAAAAGTTGGGTTCTTTTTGTCTGAGTTGTAAGAGTTCTTTATATAGTCTGGATACAAATCTCTTTTCAGATATGAGTATTGTGACTGTTTTCTCCCTGCTGTGGCTTGCCTTTTCATTTTCTTAATGATGTCTTTCAAAGAACAAAAGTTTTCAATTTTGATAAAGTCAGTTTATCAATTTTTTCTTTTATCATTAATGCTTTTTTGTGTGTCCCAAAAAATCTTTGCCGACCCGTTAAATTATCTCAGTGCCTTTTTCAAAATCAATTGACCATATATCTATGCATCTCAATGACCTATTTATGTTATTGATCTGTGTGTCAGTCTTTACACCAGTAAAACACTGTCTTGATTATTGTGACTTTATAGTGTCTTGAAATTAAGTATTGTAAGTTTGCGTTATTTTCCAAGATTGTTTTGGCTATCAGGTCCTTTCCCATATAAATTTTATGGTATAGTTAGCTTAAAATTTTTCTTTTAAAAAAAGCCTTTTGGAATTGTGATGGGGGGATTGCCTTGAAGAATGGACAAACAATGTTGAATCTTTTGTTTTTAGTGAAGAAGACTTGCACATCTTTTGTTAAATGTATTTTTAAATATTTTGTGATTTTATGCTATTTTAAAATTTCATTTTCAGGTTTGTTGCTGGTGTATAAAAATGCAATTCATTTTTGTACATTGATTTTATATCCTGCAATCTTGTTAAATTCACTTATTAGTTCAGTAGGATTTTTTTGGTGGGTTTGGTTTTTTTTTTGGTAAATGCCTTAGGATTTCCTGTGTACATAATTATATGTGAATAAAGACAGTTCTACTTCTTCCTTTCCAAATTTTTATGTCTTTTATTTCTTCTTCTTGACTTTTTGTACTAGCTAGGACCTTCAGTCTAGTGTTGAATAGAAGTTATGTGAGTGAATATCCTTGTCTTGTTTCCAACATCAGAGGACAGTATCCAATTTTTCACCTTTAAAATATGATGTTAGCTGTAGGTTTTTCATGGGTTCCTTTCATTAGATTGAATAGGTCCCCTTTTACATCTAGTTTGCTGGAGGATATCATGAATGTGCATTGAATTTTATCAAATACTTTTCTGCATCTATTGAGATGATCATGACTTTTCCCCTTAATTTGTTAATGTGATTTGTTATATCAATTGAATTCTTTTATGTTAAACTAACTTTGCATTTTTGATATAAACCCTGCTTGGTCATGATGTTTTAACCTTTTTATATGGTGCTGGATTCAATTTGTTAATAATTTTGTTTCATGTTTACGTCTGTGCTCATGAGAAAGATTGGTCTGTGATTTTCCTATCTTGTAAGTCCTGTCTGGTTTTGGTGTCAGGTCTTGGTTAATTTCAATGCATTTACAAGCATATACATTTTCAACATAAAAATAAATATACTATGCACAGTGTTTTATATTTGTATTTTGCTTTTTTTTATGGTCATTCCATATACAACATATTGATCTAGTTTTTTTCTTTTTAATAGCTAATTGGCATGGGTATGCCAAAAAGGGTATAAAAACAAATCCCTATTAAAGGACATTTTGATTATTTCTAATCTTTCACTATTGGTTTTTCTGTTTATTGAAATAATACATGTTCATTGTAGAAAATAATAATACTTAAAAGTATAAATAAAACAGAAACCACTAATATAGTCCTAAAGCTCTGAGATAATTAATGTTAAAATAGATATATTTTAAACCTAATTGAGAACATATGGCTGTAATCCAAGTGTTCAAGTTATCTAACCTTGTAGGGTCACCTTTTCTATCATGTTAAACTAACCTGAATGCCTGTTCACATTACATGTAATTCCTGTGGGAAGTCCACACCCTCCCCAGTATTTTTGGCATATTCTTGGAGTGGGGCTGGTGTGCTAACATTCTTCCAGTCTGGGTACACGTACATTGTTTATGAGCACATGACAGATTGGCTTCTTTTTCCTTGATTTCCCCTTCTAGACTCTGCTTTGGGGCTTTTCAGAAACAAAGGGCCCTGTAAAGTATGTTTTTAAAGAAAAGTTCAATTCCTCCCCTTTCACTATAAGGCAGAATGACTACATTTAAAGCCCTGCTTCCCTTGCTGTACATAACACACTCTGAGAAGAGGATTTCATCTATACCAAGGAGGCAGTATAGCAGAAGGGTAAGAGTGTGGGTTCTGGGGGCCTGGCTGTGAATGCCTGCTCTTCTGCCTCCTCGCCGTGTGACCCCAGCCAAGCTTGCTTACCATGCTGCACTTCAGTGGCTGCTCTCTAAGATGAGGATCACAATAGCATCTGCATCACAGGGTTGTGGTAAGCAGAACATGAGTCAGTACACAGGGAGTGTTTCCCCAGGTGCTTGGCACGCTAAAGCAGTCCTCAGCAAATGAGAGGCAGCACAGCACAAAGGTGAATACGAGCCCAGGGTCTGTCGTTCTGTGGGCTTGAGCAAGTCACATAATTTCTCCTATAAAAGGGATGTCGATAGTATCCACCTCTTAAGGTGGTTATGAGGATTAAATGAGTCCATATTTGAAAAGCGCTTAGAGCATCCAACATACAGTTAATGCTGTGTAAGCCACTGGTGAGTAAATTACCCCGTAAATGCTCATGTGCTCCACCAAGCTCTATTTCTACTCCGTCGTCCTCCACCCCACTGCGCTTCTCCCACTAATCATCGATGTTGACAGCCTGGTTCTGCTGCCACCCTCCCCCCCCAGATTCTATCTAGCAAACTGCTTCAGCGGGGCCAGTCTAACAGAGGTTTCCATGGATTCCTGCTTGAAGACATCAAAAAGGAGGCAGCCCGGGCTTCTAGGAAGGTTAGAATGCCCTGGAATGGGGGCTTTGGGCGTGGCCTCTTCTCATACCTCCCTGATAGTCCCGGCTTCAGTTCCTTTCCCTAGTTGCTAATTTAGAAGTCAAAAGACTCCTGGATTTCCCAACTAGTCCTCAAGTTAGGTGCTTCTCTGGAGTGTAGTATCCCTAAGTGAGGAGAGGGAGCAACATCCCTGGAGAACAAAAGAATTCAGTGCTTGAAGCTCCAGAGCTTTCAGGACCACTGAGGCAAGGGAATGCCTGTTGCTTCACAGAATTTCCATGCCATAGAATGATGTGCCACAGAATGTCTGTCTTTCTTGGGACCCTGAGCACTGCCTGGGATCTCATTTGCAGATCTGCTTTGTGTGCAAGAAAAAGGGAGCTGCCATCAACTGCCAGAAGGATCATTGCATCAGAAACTTCCATCTTCCTTGTGGCCAAGAAAGGGGTTGCCTTTCACAATTTTTTGGAGAGTACAAGTGAGTGATGAAGGGGAAAAGTCGGGTTGCCCTTTTGCAAGTTGCTATGAATTAGCTGCTACTCAAATGGGAGTCCGGTTCTCACGGGTCTGTTTTGATTCACCAGTGAATCTGTCTCTCCGTTCAATAACGAGAAACAGTGTCTTGACTTGGCAATTTCACAGGGGTTACTTCTTCCTTCCCGTCCCCTTCTTAAATTACAAACAGCTGAGGTTCTTAGACAGCTGCTCAGAACCAAGTGGGGCTTTCAGGAACTAGAGAGGCTGTAGAGATAGTCCCAGGAGCTTTGCGGAGTTGGAGAGCAGCTGTGAGAAGGCTGTTCTTCACCCTGTCGTCGTCCCCCCCGGATCACAGAGATTTGCTGGGCACCAGCCTGGAAGTGGATTGCCCTCCCTAGGCCAGGCAGCTGGAAAACTCCATCAACGACAAATCAAAACAAGTCTATTTACTCTGCCACAGATCATTTTGTGAAAAACATCGCCCAACACAGAACATTCAACGGGGGAATATGGGGGAGGAAAGCTGCGTCTTGTGTTGTGAAGACTTATCCCAAGCAAGCGTGGAAAACATCCAGAGTCCATGCTGTAGTCAAACTATCTACCACCGCAAGTGCATACAGGTGGGACTTTACCCTGGGGACCTTCCACAGTTGTCTTAGTTCAGAGCACCCTGGGAATGCTCAGGCAATCTCGATAGGAGGCCTGTATGCAGGGCTGGTTCCAGGCAGTCAGAGGAAAGTCAGCCCAGTCTCTGGTCACCCTTGCCCTGTACAACCTCATTCTTGTTACAATTTAGACAGAGCAAAAATCCTGAGGATGGCTAGAGCATATGAGCTCATCCTAGAATGAGTCAAGTAGTCTCCAAACCAGCCTTGCTTCCTCAGATGGAAGGAAAGGGGAATGTACCCAGGTACCCGAGCCCTGCTGGGTTAGTGCTGCCTAGTCTCATGGCCACAGGTGACAGCTAAGGCACTGCTGGGAACTTTCTTAAGCTTTTGGTCCCTGGTCTGGCACCAGAATTTGCAGCCCTCCACCCTAACCCAACTAAATTCCTTTTCCTGTAAGCCCCAGTCAGGCTTTTTTAGCAACATTCTCTCTGTGAGATGAGGGTGGGGGTGGAAATAAGGTGATCAAAGATAGTGTTTTTACAAACATAAAGTTTTTCCATGTTTCTCTTACAGAAATATGCCCACACATCAGCAAAGCATTTTTTCAAATGTCCACAATGTAATAATCGAGAAGAGTTTCCTCAAGAAATGCTAAGAATGGGAATTCATATTCCAGACAGGTAGTGGAAACTCTAAAGCAGGAATTGAGCCAGGGAATGGGTTTCCTAGATTTCTAGAGAGGAGGTGAGTGTGAGGATAGTTTAGAGAATAAAGCAGCAGCCAAGACATTGATATATTGAGGAGGGAAAGGGTGGAGGGAGAGCTTTTCAATTATCAAAAGAAAATAGGGGGTAGTGAGGATTGGGGGATAGGCATGTTTCTGAAAAGATTGCATTGGGGATCATAATTCCCTGGGTGAGGGGTAAGTTCTTGACTTCCAGTGTGAAACTAAGGAGCCCCTGTGTTCCACTATCCTGCTTCAGCCCTCTCCCACTGCTAGGCCACCTTCCCAGCCCTGCTGAAATGATTCAGGGAGCCTGTTGAACTCTTTTGCTGTGCTAGTTTGAGTTCTTTCTAGTTCCTCCCAGGTGGACAGTGGTTTCACAAACCAATTACATGTCCCTTACTCGCTTTCTTTTCCCACTGCAGAGATGCTGCCTGGGAACTCGAGCCAGGGGCTTACTCAGAGTTGTATCAGCGCTACCAGCATTGTGACGTCCCCATCTGTCTGTATGAACAAGGGAGAGACAGCTTTGAGGATGAAGGGTAGGGAAAGGCTTCTGGCTAGAAAGATCTCTCATCAGTGCCATCTTAGAGTTAGACCTTGGCACAGGTATTAAGAGCAAAGAATTCACTTTTGTCTACAGCCCTCAGGGTGAAGGCAATTGCTAAGTCCCGTTCTTGAGCAGTCTGGGACTCACTCACACACATGTGAACAGGTCTCCCTGCAGCGTTTGCTTCTCCTTGAGCCCAGTAGAGAGATACTCAGGGCCAATTCCTTTCTAAATCCGCCTTTCGAGTGTCTGTGCCTAACTGCAGGGTTCTGGGGTCAGCACACAGCCATGCATTCATCATGGGTAAAATGTACAGAAGAGATGCCTGGGAAGCCCTCAGCAAAGGCCTAGCCTGTAGTGAACATCCTGAGAGTGGCAGTTAGTGTTATATTTGTGCCCACAACCCTTCCTTGTCTTCCTGCAGGAGGTGGAGCCTTATTCTGTGTGCTACATGCGGATCCCGCGGAACCCACAGGGACTGCTCCTCTCTTAGATCCAGCAGTAAGAAATGGGAGTGTGAGGAGTGTGCACCTTTGCCTAAAATCACAGGTGGGACTCAGGGATGGACTGGTCTAAGAACTGGGGTGGGGATGGGGTGGGGGTACTGGTGGTGCCTAGGAAAGGAGGAGGGCATGCCACCAGTTGGGGACTTCATGGTGCCTTTAGTTTGGGAAGGAAAGTGGCTATGGAGGAGCTTAAGGACCTGTACCTGGGAGAGACAGAGGGTTGAGTTTTCCTCTCCCACCTTTCTTTCACCACAGACTACATACCTGAAAACTCAGGTGACATCCCCTGCTGCAGCAGTACCTTCTACTCAGGGGGGGCATGACAGCAGAGACACCAGCCTGGAAGAGAATCTGGGCCCTTCTTGGACTGATTGGCCAGAACCTTCCTTATTAGAGAAACCAGAATCCTCTGGTGGCAGGAGGGGCCACTCCTGGCAGTCCAAGGGTGTAAAAATTACTAAAAGCTGCAAAAATTACAAGTAACAGCTTCTAAGTAGCTGCTGCCAAGCACATTTGGCTAACAAAGCTGTGTTCCTCCATCAAGTTTGGGGAGGAAACCCTTTGGGACTGTGAGACCAGAAAAGAGGGCCAGCAGTGAGACCATGAATCAAGGGAAGAGAAGTCCCAGAGAGCGTGAGGACAGAGCAGTCCAGATGCCAACTGCTGAGCATGTGCATGGCTATGATAGCTAGCGTCTCTGCTCTTTCTGCCTGATTCCCAGAAGGCCCTTTCTTCTCTTCTTCCACCAATATTCTTCCACCCTAATCTGGTGCTCATATGCCTCTTCTTACTTCACCCATGTTTGTTACACAAATAAAGGCTTTCTCTCCATTGGAGTCTCCTTATAAATTCACTCTGGGTTTTATCTAGCACAGTAAGGAGTCTGGAGGGTAGAGTGAAGGAATAGGAAAACTATAAAATTCAGTGACTTAAATGGAGAACTTTCAATTTAGAACATAGGCACGTTGCTTTGGAGGGAAGCATGTTGCAGGGAAATCGACTTTACGGGGACAGAGATTTCATCATTGTGCAAATAAACACATAGGAACTCAGTAGGGAGGTGAGCCAGCAAAGTAGTCCACACTGGACTGAGACTAGGCCACTGTTAAAAGGCTTGGTGCCTTGGACTCGAAAAGAGGCCAGGGACTGCCATGCTCATGTGTGGCAGGAGAGACTCTACTAACCTCCCCAGCATGAATGAGGGCACACCTCCGCACACACCCTCTCGGCCTTGTGGCTCAGGCATTTCCTGCAGGGGGGGAAGCCGGGACAGTTACATTAAGCAAGGCAGCTGGGAGGAGAATCTGGCTAAAGGCCTTGGGAGAAATTGAATAAAATCTATCTCACATTTGTTTGTTTTTAATGATTTTGTGGGATTTGGATTAGTGGGGCAAACTCAGAACCATTGCCAGATACTGAGTTCTCAGGGTCTCACTGGGTCATTGTCACTAATGGCAGAGGATGGGGCCCTTGGTTCAAATATTGCCGACCCCTGGAGACCTATATTGAGTTGTGCATGTGCTCGCCTTCAGATTTGACCAGTTTCACTTGGCATCACACGGCAAGGATGGGAGACTGTGTCTTATTAAAGTATATAGACACAGTAATATAGACTTTTAAAATGAAAAGTAGTGTCTTGACTCATCCTTCCCTACTCCCAGTCCTACTCACTAAAGGCAACAACTTTCCACTTCTTTTAGCCTTTTTTTTTTTTCAATATGTCTTTATTGATTTCCAAGAGAGGAAGGGAGAAGTAGAGAGAGATAGAAACATCAATGATGAGAGAGTCATTGATCGGTTGCCTCCTGCACACCCCCCACTGGGGATGGAGCCCGCAACCCGAGCATGTGCCCTGACTGGGAATTGAACCACGATCTCCTGGATCCTAGGCAGACTCTCAACCGCCGAGCCATGCCTGGCCGGGCCTTTTAGCTATTTCTTGATTTATTAATCTTAGACATTATTGACTTCCTATTATGTTACATAACCTTCTAGCACCTTTAAAACGTCCCCTTTTCATTCCCTTTTATAATTACATCACAGTTTTTAAGCCGGGCAGTATACCATGGTTATTTTTCCTCTCCTGTACATTTTTTTAAATGAAATACCTGCCTATTTTTTATTTGCTATATGTCTATGGATAATTCTTCCCAAATGTTTCACATGATCAATTGCTTCAAACTACAATTTTCCTCATAGGCCAAGCATCAGATCCCTATCAGTTGCACTTCTTTGCTGGAAGATCTGCCTCCGAGAACCTCCTTCTGAGCGAGCTGCTTCCTGGGCCTACCACACAACTATCATCCTAGGCTTCCCCATGACATGCCTTTTCCTCCACTTTCTCTCCCGTGAGTTTGATAACTCAGTGCTATGCTTCCTACCTTGGGCACCCAAGGACACTTTGTCAAAGCTCTGCAAGTGATGAGAGTTTTAATTGTGGATTTTCATTGCACAAACAATATTTTGCTTGTCCTAAAGAATCAACTCTTGCAGTGATCATTCACAAGTGAAAAGACACTTTCAAGATTAAGACTTTAGTTTCTTAATCTAGAGTTTCTCCAGGCACATTCTTAGACTTCTGGGTTAGTATCTTTTCCTTTAAAGAGTTTGTTTGTATACTAAACTGAGAAACATCATCTTAACCAAAAGTAATGGTCACCTAACAGTGTCCTCTGTGCTCCAGCTGCATTGGATGGGGGTGGAGCTTGTGGCAGGGGTAGTGGGGATAAGGGGTGCTTTTTGTCACCCAGATATTCAGCTACCCGACCTCTGTGTGCAGGTGGTGTACACACACACACACACACACACACACACACCTATTAACTATTTACTCTCTATTGATGTAGTAGCCAACCTCATTTTTTTTTTTTTAATGTCTTTATTGATTTAAGACAGAGGAAGGGAGAGGGAGAGAGAGTTAGAAACAATGATGACAGAGTCATTTATCAGCTGCCTCCTGCACAGACCCCACTGGGGATTGAGCCCGCAACCCGGGCATGTGCCCTGACTGGGAATCGAACCATGACCTCCTGGTTCAGAGGTCAACACTCACCCACCGAGCCATGCTGGCCAGGCAGCCAGCGTTATTCTTATAGGCTGGAAAGTCTAATTTTGAAAAGTTCTATTCTTCATCTGGGCTTAATTACAATTAGTCATTCTCTACTAAATAATTGGGCTTTTTTCTTAAATAAACTTTTAATTTGGGATAGTTTTATATTTACCAAAAAAATGTGAAAATAGTACAGGGGATCCCCCCAACTCGAATTTCCCCTACTAGTGACATCTTACATTAGTGTGGTACACTTGTCACAATTAATGAACCAATATCGATACCTTCTTATTAACTAAAGCCATACTTCATTCATATTTCCTTAGTTTTTACCTAATGTGTTTTTCCTGTTCTAGGATCCCATCCAGGATACCATGTAGAGTTGGGTCGTCATGTCTCCTTAGGTTCCTCTTAGCTGTAACAGGTTGTCAGATTTTCCCTGGTTTTGATGACCTTGACAGTTTTGAGGAGTACTGGTCGGGTATTTTGTAGAGTGCCTCTCCATTTGGATTTGTCTGATGTTTTTCTTATGATTAGACTAGAGTTATGGGTTTGGGGAGGAAAACCACACAGGGAAAGTGCCTTTTCCATCCCCTCATATTGAAGTTACATACTATATCAACATGACTTATCACTGTTGATGTTGATCTTGACCATCTGGCCAAAGTAGTGTTTGTCAGGTTTCTCCACTGTAAAGCTACTCCTTTTGCCCTTTCCATACTGTACCTTTTGGAAGGAAGTTACTCTGTGTAGCCCACAATGAATGAATGGGGACTTATCCCCCCTCCTTGCTTGAGGAAAGAGTATCTACATAAATTATTTGGAATTCTTCATAGAACATTTTCCTATTCTCTCCCAGTTATTTATTTTGTCAATCATTTGTTTATATCAGTATGGACTCACGGATATGTATAGTATACTTTGGGTTATAATTCAGTACTACTATATTTATTTTGTTGCTCAAATTGTTCTAGCGTTGGCCATTGGGAGCTCCTGTATCCTTTCACATATCCTTATTATCGTGTGTTTTGTTTTTAAGTACTTTTTTACTTTTTGGCACTTCAAGGTGCCCCAGGCTCATCTTGTATATTTTAAATACATGTTTTTAAATATAATGTGTCTATTAGAATTAATTACTGTTTTATAGCATAGGACCTAGAGCAAATAGTTCACTTGTGGAGGGTAGAAATAGATGTTAATAAAAATTTTCCAAAGCACCTGCTTTCTTTCCTCTAATTCTTATCTTTGTAGAAACCATAAACTAGGGCCAGAAACCTCAGAATCTCCTGCTGCTGCCTTTTATGCTCAGCCGCCCTCTTTCTTGTCAATCTGACTGTTTTTCAAATGTTTGCCTTCCTCTCCAGTGCTCAGCTCAGACCCCTGTGCCTCATGAGACCTCAGCAAAAGCCTTCTCTGTGCATGCTTTCCTATGTCCACTTGCTTTACTGGCACATCCACTCCTTTCCCTTCTGCTAATTGTCATAAAACATCTGTTAGCTCTTTACTTAGGATGGCCCCTGCTGAGATTGGCATCCAAAGCCTTGCACAAATATGGTCCCATACAGCGGCATCTCCCAGAATGCCTCACCCCTGGGCACTCTGCCCTGGCTACCCTGAAATCCTGAGCATGGGACTCACAGTGTGAAGAGCCCTAACCTCTATCCTCAGCCTGTCGAACCCAGCATAAGGCCCACTTCTTCATCCCTAGGTGCTCTCACTGGACTCTGCTCCTACCCTTATTGTAGCCCACGTCACTCTCCATCTGGTCCTACGATTGTGGATCTGTCTCTCCCACTAGACTGGAAGACCCTTATGGGCAGGGACCTGTCTGTCTTATTAACCTTCTTGTGGTGTCTGGCTCCAGACTCAGATTCAGAGGCAGTTTGAGATCTGCTTCTACCCTGTATATTCATATGCCTGTTATTTTGCTCTCAAACACCAGAGGGCACTGCTAGCATGTTGAGGAGGAAGATTATAACCCCTTAGACCTGGAAGATTGAGAAAGGCTAATGAAAGGCTTGCTTCTGTTTGGGGATGCGCAGGATTTACTGCTCTTCATTTGTTCGAATCACACCCGTTTGAGTATATTCATGAGTTGTGCTCCAGTTGGGTTTAGAGATTAATATGAGAGTTACTAATGATACTTCCATCACAGGTGAAATCCTCAGACAGGATTGCCTTCATGGTCTGTTCAGACCCAAAGTAGCGCTTCTAACCCCAGCTGCCCTCCTCCTACCCCCAAAACAGGGACTGCCAGTCCCAAGGGGTGTGGGTGATATGGCTCTGTTCTTCTGCCCAGCCCTCCTACCACACACACTGATACTGCGGCCTCCAGGTGGTGGTTTAAAAGCCCTGATGACCTGTGGACAGGATGGGAGGTTGTTAAGAGGTACAGCACCTGCACTGGCCCCGACCCCAGGGTACTGCATCAGCTCCCTGTGTGTTCCCAGGCTGGCTGAAAGTGAGTTGCAACATCATGAGGGCCCCCAGGTATGAGAAGGCTCCATAATGACTAAGCCAGGGAGCCCCATTCCGGAGAAGTCAGCTATTTGCAAAGGTCTCATGTCCTGTACATCCCCCCCCCCCAAAAAAAAA